TCTTCTTCCTCTTTGTCACCTTCCCCCTCCTCCGCTAACTCCTTCATCGCCCCCACGACCATTCCCCGTATCCCTCTTCCCCTCTTATATTTCCTCTTCGCCCACTGCACCGTCAACAAATATCCCCCCGGCAATCTTCTCCTTACCTTCTCCCAGCTTTTTTCCTCCATCCATGTCTCGATTATAACAATTACTTCCCACTTTTCTATTACCCTTCAAAAATCCTTATCCTTATTCATTATTCCTGCTACATTCCAGAACCCTATCTTCCAATTCCCTCCTCCTGTCTCACTCCTTCCCCCCTTCCTTTAGTTTTTTCCCATCTTTCGTTCCCCACCTTTCTCTTCTCCCTGCTTTTCCTCCCTCTCTCCTTCCATTCTCTCATACCCCCCTCCCTACTAGTTTTCAACTCCTCTTTTTCTTCGTCCCATACCCATATCCTTCCATCTATGAATATCTTCCCATACCCCACTCTTACCCTCCACTCTTTTCTTGCCACCCTGCTCCTCACCACCCTAAGCATCCATTACATTTTCCTATCTTTCCACGTCCAATTATCCCTTAATAGCTCCCTCCTCCCTTGGGGCCAGCTATTTTTCCACATCACTTCCCTTTTCTCCTCCACATTTCTTAGCTTTACCTTTAGAACTGTCTCCTATCCTTCCCTCCTCCTCCTTCCTATCTCCTTCACTCCTGCCCCTATTCTATCCAGCGATCTCTCCGCCGTTTCTTTCACTGAACCTCTCCTTATCACTCTCCTAATTATTAAATTTCTTCTCCTATCCTCCCTTTCTTTCATCTTCATCCTCTTCTCCATTTCCACCACTTTCCACCTTATCCCTTCCTCCTCATCCTTCTTTGCCCCCATATCCACTGCTACCCCTGGCACCCTCTTTTCTGCTTCTACCCCAACCTTGCTACCCTCTCCCCCATCCCCCTTCCCGTGCTCCCCTCCAACTCTTCAATCCTTCTCTCCAGTTTCTTTCTTTCCCCCCTTTATTTCGCTTCCTTCTCCACCATCTCCCCTCTCACTCTTTCTAGCTCCTTTTCCACCCCACTAATCTCTTTCTTTATTATATTCTTCACCTCTAACATCCAATCTTTGTCCAGCTCCACTCTTACTTCCCTTCTTCCCATCTCCCTTATCCGCTCCTTTTGACCATCTTCCACCTCTCTTTTCTCTTGCGCGCCACCCTTCCTTCCTCACCTCTCCTCGGCGACCTAGTTATCTTCTGACTTTTCCTAAACGCTCTCTCTTCCTCTTCCTCCTCTATCTCCCTCTTTCTCATCCAGATTTCCTTCACTCCCGCCGTTCTCCCTCGGCACTTACTTCTCGTTCTGAGCATCCATCCGCGTTTGTCTTCCTCCCTCTCTTCTTCTCACCTCCTAACCCCTTCTCTTCACTCATCCGCTTGCTTGTTTCCTGCCTCACCGTATCTTTTCTCTAACCTGATTCCACTCTCTTCCACCGATGTCGCTGTCGTCGCCACAACCTCCTAACCTCGCTTTCACCTTCTTCCCTTTCTCACCTTTTTCTTCTTCTCTCTCACAAATTCCCCCTATCTCTCTCTGCCTCCTGCTCGCTTTGACTTTCCTTCTACCTGCTCTGACCTTCCCTATCTTCTCCACTCCTTTATTCACTCACTTCCACCCTATTTCTCCTCCGCTCACTTTCACGCGATTTCCCTCTACAAATCCCAACCGGAAGTCCTCGCTTAGAAGAACTAGAATAGCTTAATGAAAGGAATCGTCCAAGGTTTTGAGATATATTAATTAAATATATTACAAAATATTTAGTCATTATTTATGAAGTATCTTGTACAGTCATTAGTCGCTTCGATTATTTTTTATGCAAATGTATTTATGTGTTTGTCGTAATCATATTTCTTAGATTAGGATTTTCAGCTTCTAATATACTAATCTTTCGTTTCTCCCCCCGTACTTTCTGCGTTCTCATCTATGCATGTGCCCAGGTGTTACACAAGTATGGGTGAGAAACAGTTAGCGTGGGCTTAGTTTAAGTTCTTTCCCCTATTGGTGGCGGCTGTTATTGTGCTAGTGATTGCACGATGTACTTTACATCTAAGTGTGCGTATTAGGTAGTGTTTATTGTACATCGTTTCGCTATATTTTTTATTCATTTAATACATCATTAAATACTGAAAGCACTACTTCTGCATATCACGTGTGATGTGAAACACACACACATACGCGTTTCTATTCTTAAATTTATATTGAATATTTCTCATTTTTTGAATAATCGTTTGCATAGTAGAGTTACTGCATTTATGTGTGGAAACTCTGATATACTTGTATATTACTAGTATGCATATATATGTAAGCGAACGTTATCCGTTCGAATAATTGTTTCAAAAGGGACGGTTAATTTTTTTTTTTTCTTATGTGTAAATCAAATTGTGTTGCTATAAACAAAAGTCTTTTTATTTAAGGTAGTTCTAACACAAATCAAAAGTTATGCCAATTTAATGAATTTCTATGAGATACTAAAGAAATTATTGAAGAATTCTCCTGCAATATTTGAGACTGTCTCACCATACCGTTTTCAAGATATCGTTTATCAAAAATTGCGAATTTTGCATACAAGCAAATGGCTTATACGCTACGAAATGAGCATTTTTCAGATAAATTTAGTCACCAAAATGTATGAAGGTGTAATGAGAAATTCTTGAAATTTCGCAAAAAAGTATTTTAGTATATGAAGAATAACATATATTTTACTGTAAATTTTCCACCATACAGTAAAAAAGTATAGACTCTTATGCAGTGATCCCAGAGACTTTAGTTCGTCTGATCGACACAATATTAATAGTTTTTTAGATTATACTTTAATATAACCTAATTAAYAATCATTACAATTAAACTTTCAAAAAAAAAACATAACAAAATTAATAACAATAAATTCAATTATTTCAATAGTTCAACACATAATTATTAATAAAACAATTAATTTGGCTTTACTCAATCGTCCATGTCCGACATTTCTAAAATCACTTCTTCTTCGTTATTGTTTTTATCATCATTGCTTTTCGTTTTACTAACATATAAAGATTTTTTTATTAAATTGTATTCGCGTTGACTTGGTCCATAATTAACAAATTTTGAATTTACTCTTTGACTAGACAATAACAAGCACTTAAGCGTTTCTACAGATAACTTATTACGAATCTTTGATTTATTTAAATAAATTTTACTAAAAATAAATGTTAAAGTATAAATTCTTCTATTTCAAAATTTAAAGCCGTCGAAGAAGTTTTTGTTTTTCGAGAATTAGATCTTTTCCTTTCCATATCGTAAGCAATATTATTAACCCTTTGACTGCTACAGACGCATATATGCGTCTGGCGGAAGCTATCGGTATGGACTCAGGACGCATATATGCGCTTTCTGTAAGTGTTCGGCATGGACTAAGGACGCATTTATGCGTTTGTCAATTTTTCGAGCACCTACACAGAATTAATACCATTATGCGTCTGTGAGATACGTATAAATGCATTCCTTAGCAACGGCAATAAACAAATGCCAAAAATGCATTATATTATAATATATATATATATTATATTATATTTATTAAATTTAGTTTTCCAGTTTATTGTTTTCTATTTTGTTACACAAATTTTAGTTTATTTTAAGTTTCAACGTCAATAATAAGGAATACTAAAAAATAATACTAATAAATAATTAATTCTAAAAAATAACGCTCTTGAATTATTTAATCTCGTACGAAAGTACGATTTATGCTTTGAGTAGTTCATCAACAGAGTTCAGTCTACCGAAAAAGTATTCAGTCCACAGCGATCGTTAGTACTCGCCGCGCGCCGTCCGTACGGACTGCATAGGCCAGGAGTGTTCAGCAGTCAAAGGGTTAAAATATAAAATAATGCGTCCCACTGCTCGAGAAGCCTAGTAATTACAGCCGTTACTGAAAGCCATCGAGTCTCCACTGGACTCAAAATTTTATGACTTTTTAGCTCTAAGAACTGTTGATATTGTTTAAATTCATGCTGCCGCTTACAACTTGATGAAAAGTAATTCTAAATAGAATGAAATAATTTTTCACAATCAGACGTTATTAAGTCAAATGGTTTATTGGCACAAAGGTGAAGCGAATGACAAATACATATCATGATGTAAATGTTAGGACAACTATCTTCAAATCTTGTTCTTACTGAATTATGTTTACCCGTCATCGCATTACATCCGTCTGACCCGAAACCAATAATTTTATCAAAAGATACAGAGAAGCGTTGAAAAGATTCTCGGACACAATTGAAAAGATGCTCTGCTGTAGCAAATACTTCTCTAGAATCGTCATTGAAAATTCTACATAACTCCCAAAAATGACTATTATCTATAGGCTATTCGTCCTATAGATTCATCGTAATACCGTACGATAATACACAATGTTTGAGTCATTGAAATGTTAGACTTGCTTTATAATGTCACTATCAGGAAAACACTCCTTAAGTAACGGTGTTAAGTGATCCATAATCTTAAAAGGTACATTGTGCTATGCAAAAAAACTGCACAATTTAATTTCTGCGCGTGAGATTTTACCTTTCATTGATTCATTTCGAGCTTCACTTAAAGCTTTATCTATAAAACTAGCAATTTTCGTTTGTTTATTTRAACCTTTTAACATTATTAAATGAGATTTACTAGTCGCATGTTTGCGAATAACTGTTAACTCCGCAGTGATTGTTGCTTTGCAGAGTGAGCATTGAGCTTTTAATTTATCAGAATGAGGCAGGAGCCACGAACATAAATCCAGATTACTAAGCTACTCCTTACAGAACTTTTGTGGCCGCCGTGTGCTTTGTTTTTTTAATTGCGTAAGAGATGTGTTATCTGTCATTATAAATATAATCAATTAAAAATGCAAAAGAAATAAAATTTGAATAATTAAAGAAGAAATGTTACAAAATATGTTTCCAAATTAGTTTTTAAAATATGCTTAAAAATCAATAACAGATATAAAAATGTACTCTTCTCTTCTAGCAGCAAAACTCAAACGTTCGTTATTACCTAGGGAATACATTTTTAGGGTAAAATAAAACATGTATAAATAAATACAGAAAATGATCGGGTTATATTTTTTACTATGAACTTCTTCATTAGATAATGTTACAACAGTAATAATCTGCATAACATAATTAATTTATAGCGGTTAAAGACTGAATAAATAGACCAATAATTAAATTGTTCAAAAAATTATAAGACTAAATTCAATTTTGAGGATATGTTTATCCTTTAAAAAATACCTGGATTAATAATTATCAAATAATGACTTGGTCAATTTTTTAAATACTTTTTTTTGTGCGATCTTACGTGATGTTACTATATGTTTACATAGGTTTATATAGACTTACTGTAATTATAGTAGATTCTGTAGCGGCTATTTTATCTGTCCTATCTGTCCTATCTGTTCAATCAGTTCTAAATGTTGAAGAAGTCGCCCTGTTCTAAGTGTTAAGACTAAAATGACAGAATAAATAGACTACTAATTAAATAGTTGAAAAAAATTTAAAGACTGAATAGAATTTTGAGAATATGTTTATCCTTTAAAAATTACCTGGATTAATAATTTTAAAATATTTACCTGTAAAATTAGTAAAACTTCTTTTTTGTCGTGTGATCTTCTGTGACGTCCTAATGTTGCAAATATGTTAATAAATGGAGAAGCTGTAAAAGTAAAAACTGAAAAAAAGAAAAACTGGAAAAAAGTTAAAAGTAAAAGTAAAAACTGTGGAAAGAAATGCTTTGATGTTTTCTGTTGTATTGCTGGTATGCAAATTGTGCCTATGCTGTTCTGTAACAATTTTTCCAACCGTTTTTTCAGTTTTCTTCTGTCTTCTTGCTTCTTTTCTTCATTTTCTTCTGTCTTCTTGCTTCTTAGSTTGTTTTCTTTATATCGTCATATATCTTCATGTATCTTCATATACCGTCATATATCCTCATATATCCTCATATTTTTTTCGTGTCTTCTGTTTTGTACGTTGTTCATCTCTTCAACTTTTGTTTAATCGTTAACCGTAGAAGCGACTCGTGTGCAAATTTGATGAGTAAAAAGAGAAAAAAAGAAAAAAAAAAGAAAAAAAAAGAAAAACAAAGGACTTCAACTTTCAATTTTCTCATTGTGGGGTTTCCTATGGAGCTATCAAACCGCCGGATAGACTGACGTCATTAACGACGTTTAATACGTAAAAAAAAGAAATAAAACAAAAAAAAAAGGTCATCAAGTTTTCAAAATTCTAAATGAATCGTACGCCACGATTCTTGGATCGTACAGGACCTCAAATTATCGTACACGTACGATAATTATCGTACGAATGGGATCGCTGCCGGCGTCACGATGATTCTTCAACCGCCGTGATGAGTTATGGCGAGTCCGCATAGAGCGACAACTGTCGCGAGTTCTGATTGGGCATTAGAAATCCCAAACAAGTTGGTACATAATTATTATTAAAGAAGGCACTAAAATAACTGTTACACTATTTTTATTCCATTTTATTCTAATTATATTTTTTAATTAGTACTAAAACGTTTTATTTAAAAAATTTAACTCCTAGGATCCATAGTTCTTTTTAGTATGATAATTTTGAAAACATTTTCCAACATGCAGAGGAACGTTGCAGGAAGAACACATGTATGCAGTGGAACTTTTTTTCTTGGCGGCACTGCAAACTTTACAAGCCCTTCGCGGGTTTTGAATTCTCCCATTACCACTAATACATGTTATTCTATGTTTTCTCATGTTCGTAGTAAGTCTGCCTGATGRATCAAACCTCGGCGATCTTTTATTACATTGAGCAGCYGATCTTGATTGTTGCTCCTCTTCATTCCCATTAATCCATGCTAGTGCAAGGTTTAGTAAAAATTGTTTGAATCTAAYAGGATTTTCAAAATTTTTGATATATATCTGGAACGCGTTTAGTAATGCACAGTTTATGAGATATAAAACCGTTTTTTTGTCCATTTTTTTGTTTTGCGATGTATGGAATAACACGATAGGTATTGATCGGCGTGATCAACACCTTTCATAAATTTGTTATACTCTCGTATGCAAATTGGTTTAATGTACTTCTTTTTGGTTCTTTTACTTGCACATTCGACYATGTCTGCTGAATGTATCGTAGAAATCATCGTTATCAATTTTTTGCCCGAATTCCATTTTTGTACCCAAATTTTCCCTTTTCTAAGAAATTCCATTGACTTATTTTTCAATGTAGCAGATTTTAAACCATTTGGCAATYCTCTGTTTACTCTAATTGTGCCACAGATGTTTGTTTTATGCTTAAGTAACTCCTCTGCAACCTTTACACTATTGGAATATTTATCCATGTATACATCGTGCCATAAATTTAAATATGRCGATAGCACGGACAATATTGTCGCAATTAGCAATTTTCCTTGCGCGCAATATATTTCTAAATTGCATATATAACCAGATGTCGCCTCACACACCATACGGACTAAAATTCCATATTATTACTGAAGTGMCAATACTTCCATAACTGCCGAAATCGGTTCCTTGGCATAGTATTCCCAAAAATAGGTGTATGTAATCCAGGGTGAGTAGACCAATAATCGTCTTGTTCTGGTTTCTTTTACTATTCCCATTAAGATAACAAGCCCCAAAAGTTTTCTCATTTCTACAACATTTGTATCAACCCCATCTTTATTCTTTGTTGATGCATTATTGTTATCATTATTYTGCTGATTATGATATAAGTTTGTTTGTGTGGCAAACAAATTAAATAAATCGTCCTCAATGAACAATTCCACAGTTGATAATATATCGGGTGTGCATGGTACCTGTAACCCAAACCGTTCCAGGCAAGCATGAAAGTCAGGTTTAAAATCAACTTCTGACCAATCATTTGCCACTGAATTCTTTTCATCACTTTCAGATTCACTAATTATTAGTCTTCTTTTATTTTTGAGTCGTCTCACAATTATATCGCTCCCACTGTCCAAATCATTTTCACTATCACAGGAATTATCCTCTTCTGATAACAGATCAGTATATATTTCCTCATCTATAAGCATTTTGAAGGATATCTAACGTAAGTTTTCCTATATTCGAAGGCAGCGAAAGACAGTCTCAAACTAACAAGACAAGCGTCCGCGAAAAAAGATTTCGATAATAGACTCTGGTGAATGAACCATTTTGCTGAGAGTAGTTCAGCGAACGTGTCACGAGAGGCAGCACTCGTAGTAAGGACAAACAAAAAATTTCCATTTAAGGCAGTGTTATTTACGCTATATTATATTATTATTTAAAAATAATATATATACACAACAAAATTTTTTTAATAACCACTATGCCAACAAAACATTCTAGTTTTGCGAGGTGTACGTTGGATAATCGCTATCCAGAGGAAAATGTGTTTTGTATACCATTTGTAAAACCTCATATTGACGAGGTTAGATGCAATAAATGGATACATGCGTCAAGGAGAGTGGATTTAACAGTAGGAAAAATTAATAAATATTCATATGTGTGCTCAAAACATTTTATCGGTGGAAAAGGTACAACTGTAGAAAATCTTTTTATTAGAATTACCTGGATTAGATTTTTTTTTCATCATTTTCACTAGAATTTTTCGTTTATTTAGCTTTTTGATATTCAGCATTAATGATACTTGAGGGATTATTTCCAGTTTTACGACCTTGATTCCATTCTTTTATTTTTGAAGTACAAGTCAGTGGTTCGAATCCATATTGAAGCGTATATTCTTCAAGTTTAAAAAGTAACGTGACGATATGTGAACAATTTAAAGATTCTGATGCTGGGATATTGACATGCAGCATTTATGATGTATCCATCTTCAT